ATACTGGGAGGAGTTTCACACGTGTGCCCTGACTGCGCTCTCGGAGTGCCCAAAGAAAGCAGCGGCCGGCCATTTGGGAGATGCTGAGAAGGGAGTCCCAAAAATTCAAATTTCAAGGCAGCTTGTTTGACCTCTGCTGCCCCAGCATGCTCCAAAGCTTTGCCAGGATCCCCATTCCCAACGTTTCCATCCTCAGCGTCCCCCTCATCATCACTTGGCTGAACTTACGAACTGCAGCTCTGTAAGTACCACAACAAAGGCGGTGGCAGCACATCATGGCACCTTTCTGATCATTTTGCCAAATCTTTAAGGAATACCCTGTGTGGAGCTCAGCGAATGCTTGGCTCTGTCCTGCACCTGTGAGATGTAGAAGAGCTCTGCACCATCTCCCAGGCTTTGCTCTTTCTCTGTAATTTGGGATAACACCCATCCCCTTCTGCCTCAAGGCATAAGCACGGATCTGGCTGACTGCAGAGTTTGGCAACTTGTAGATATGGGACAGAGGATTGGGCGGAACATTATAAACTGGTCGTGAACTCTGGCTTCTTTTGCACTCTTCCATGGCTACTGGAAGGAAACCTATTTACTTTGCTGACTCATTCCACTAGATCAACTCTACCAGGTATTTGATTTGGGCACTGAAAACAAGGTGGGCACTGATTGGTGTGGTGGAGGGGATGGTGTATGTCCTGTCAAGGGCAGGAAGGAGACCTTACTGCCCTGTACCAGCCTTTTCTCTCTGAGGACATGGTGAAACCTCTCCTGAAGAATAATCACAGATGCATGACCTCTTCTCTTGCACACCTCTGGATTCCTGAGTAACTCCTGTGCTATGTGTAAATCCCTTTTCTAAGGAAATAGAGGGCAAAAATAGTTGGGGGAAGAGGAAGTGACAAAAAAAGATTTATAGCAACTCTTGCTTTAAAGCTTTCTCCAAAGGTACCTGTAAGCAGCACTGTAGGTGGCAGTGGTGTAATTCCAGAGTATTAAAGTTTGTTGTAGAGCCTACAGCATGGTAGAAGATGTTTCTCTTGCCTCCTGTTCAACAGCACAGTCTCCTCCTGCCTCCTTTGTGGCTCGGAGCACCGTTAGTTTTGCAGCTTTGGTACCAGCATGAAAGTATTTGAACCGAGAGGTGCTTGCAAATTTGAACTGAGAGGACTGTTGGGTGTGAGAGAAAAATGCCACGATGTTATTGGGCAGTTTGGTGTTTCAGCAATGCTGATGAAGCTCTGAGCCCTGCCTGGCTACACGGGGCCAGAGGAGCTAGAACCAGCAGGATATTTCAGGCTGACTTGCCTTGGTGTGTCATGCACCACGTTGGCTGTTTCCACACATTGCTGGCTCCCAGGGTACCTGTGTTGTCTTCAGTAGGGGCAGGCAGCTGCTAGCAGCAAGGGACAGCCCTGGGGAAGCTCATGGCTCCTCCTGCTCCTGAGAAACATTGAAGTGGGGCTGCTGCCGTGGGAGTGGGCACTGCAGTAGTGCCACCAGCTGTAAATGGATCAGGAAGTTCTGAAACAGTGTCCCCAAACCTGAAAATGTGCTTTTCAGTGTGACCAGGAGAGCTGGTGCCCCAGTAGCCCCAGAGATCTCACTGGATGCATTACAGGCACATGGGCAACCTTCTTGTACAGCAATGGATTGTTTTTACCAGCAGCAGTGTTGTTTTTTTTAATGCTAAAAGCTGCTCTCCTTTGGCACGCACATGTTCTTCCTCCTACCCTCCTTAACACTTAATACTCTGCACCAGCCACAGCAGGAGGGAATGAATAAATTGAGGCAGCTTCCAAGAAATAAGTCAGTGAGGAGCAGCTGGCATTCAGACAGCACTTCAGTGCCAGGCACCTTGGCTTTCTACAGACAACGGAGCAGCTACTCCTGTACGCAGCATCTCGGCCACAAAACCTTAAGATTCAAGTAGTGAGGAAAGGCTAAAGCAGAGCACTGTGGAACCTGGAGTAGGAAAGGCTAAAGCAGAGCACTGTGGAACCTGGAGTGCAGAACCACTCAGCTGCTCTGGTTTGTCATTCTTACTCTGCTCCCACAGCAGTGTGTGCTGTCTGGTGCTGTTCGCCCCTCCCTGTTATCTCCTGCCTGTGGTTTGTAGCTGAGGAAAGCTGACACAGGTGGGTGTTGTGTACAACCAAGGCTGGAGCTGCAACGGGACAAGGGGGGATAGTTTTAAACGAAAAGAGGGAGATTTAGACTAGATAGAAGGAAGAAATTTTTTACACTGAGGGTGATGAGGCCTGGACCCAGGTTGCCCAGAGAGGTGGTCGCTGCCCCATCCCTGGAAACATTCCAGGTCGGGTTGGATGAGGCTCTGAGCAACCTGCTCTAGCTGCAGATGTCCCTGGCCAGTGCAGGAGAATTGGACTGGATGACCTTGAAAGATCCCTTCCCACCTAAACCAGTCTGTGATTCTATGGAGCTTCTGGATCCAAATCCTGTACCTGCTCTTTGTTTAGAATAAATGTTTAACACCTTTAGGAAAACAACTTAAGCATAATCCCCCAAGTCCCACAACCATTAGCTTCTCTTTGGATTTGGCATCTTCCTCTCTGTTAAAATTCTCTGCTTTTAAACATCTTCGGGCAAGGGGAATATAAAAGTCTCAGGAGAGATCTCCAAGAAGATTTCTTTTTGCAAAACCACGGATGGAAGAGGCCAGCTGACAGTACCAACACCTCCAAGAAGAGCAGGTGTTGAGGTGTATCTTCCCTGGAAGCAAATCCTTTAACTCCACTGCACACAAAAAAACCAAAGATTCATTAAGAAAAGAAGACCATCTGCCACCATTCTGGTATGGACCAGCAGAGTTTTTTAAAGCCAGAGTTGCTTCTCAATCCAGCTGAAAGCATGTGAGTGAAAATTTGGTCTTATGGTATGGGAGTGAGGAGTTTCAGGGGTTCCTAATATTCATATTCTCTCTCATATTCACTGTAGGAACTTCTAGGAGCTCACACCACACTTTGGTGCAGTGTTAAGCCTTGAATTATAAACCTGCAAACTTTCCCCCTGCAGGAATGGGATGTTCTTTTTCAGCAACAAAAAGCAGGAAGGGACAAAATGAACCTGGAAGAGGCTGAAAACCCGACTGACACCAATCCAGTGCTGGGCAGCCTGAGGTAGAGCCCGCTGGTTGCTGCTCGCTGCTCTTTCTGAAGGAGATGCTGGTACCTACTGGAAGACCAGTTTATACTTAGTCTGAAGGTGACTGGGAGAGAGGCAAGTATCCTTAGACATCAGGAACAAGTGGATTTTGAGAGGGGATGAACTTTTTTGCTGGCTCCACAGTGGAGTTGCAGAAGAAGCCCTAGGAAGTGACCGCTGGGTGGCCCTCCAGCAAACACTGGCTCCTGCCCAGAAAAAAAACTGGTGTCAGCTGTTTCCTGGGAAAGCCTGTTGCTGTTCCACAGCAGTGCTGCAAGCGGGGTTGGTCAGGAAGAGCTCCTGGAGAAACCTCAGGATAGAAGAAGTTCTGTCTAAAAAAACACAGCTGGCAACCCTCCTCTGCAGCAGCCCTGCCAAGTATTTAACACTTCAGCCCAGAACCCTGCTCAATTTGTAATATCTGAATATGAGAGCAGGAATTGAAATAAGCTCCCCCAGTAACAATACTCAAACTGGCAGCTTCAGAGAGTTTATCACCTACTGCACTTCAGATCATCCCACTGCTTTTCAACAAGCTGAACTGGCAAATAACTTACGCCAATGAACGCTTACTAATATCAGCACAGAAAGCTGCTGCAACAAGAGGCTGTGCAGGAGAAAAAGCTGGTTTGTAGAGCTGGCTTTGCCCTCACTTGGGCTCTCATGAGCTGGCTGTCCCACCACGGAAAGCAGGCAGGATGTGGGGCTGCCTGGGCTGTGGGCCTGGAGGAACAGCCCGGCTCTGCCCCCTCAGCAGTGAGGTGCTGTCCTGCCTGCCTGCAGCCAATGGTTATTTAAGCACCTCTGAATAAAGGCACACTGTTGTTTTGAGAAGCCAGCAACAGTCTCTCTCTTACTCAACATCCCCTTGACCAGACCAGGCCTGTCACTAGACTTCTGGAGCCTGCAGGCAGACCCAGACCAGTGGGAGGAGCAGCGTGGCTCCAGGACACCTCTGCAGCCCTCCCCAGGACAGGTCCAGCCTCAGAGCCCGTGGAGATCCAGCACTGATGTTCCTCCTGAAGCCAGGATCGTGCTGGCCGACCTCCCCAGGCAGCACTCACCGGCACCTTCGTTTCAGAGCAGAGGTATGAAATGTTTATTGTAGGAAGTTTTATGTGCCCTAGGCAGCAGGCATTGTAGAGCCACTTGTTCTCTGGCCGTGTCCTTCTTTTGCCCTGACACAGACACTGGGGGTGTTTCTCAAAGCCCTCAGCTTCCCAGGACAACTGTAACACACTCACAGCAACATAACATTTTTATTATTATAAAAGATTTCTTCAGCAAACCGCTGTCTGACATCTCAACGTATTAAACATGGGAACAGCAAACAAACCCACCTAACATTATAGGTTACTTAGTGTCTCAGCTGGTGATTCAGGTAAGTACAACTATTTCCTTTCTCCCTAACCATTCACTTCCTTAACTTTTTTTCCCCCCAGTCAAAGCCCAAACAAGTTAAGGACTTGAAGCAGCAGCTCCCAGTCCACTGCTCACTGCAGCAGCTCCCACAAGAGCTGACCATCACGATACCCATCCAGGGCACTCCCACATCTGTTAAATTCCAGATGCTCCTCACGTGCCAAGTTTCTCCACCTGGCTTTTCACAGTCTCATGAGGGAAGAGTTTAAGAGCTCTCTCGCCATAAAGTCATATTTAATGTTTTGTGTTAACAAAGACCTGCTCCTCTTCCACGGCTGGCTGCTGCTGCAGGAGATGCTCACACTCATGCAGTCACCGAGGTCCGAAAGAAAACCAAAAAGTCTGAACAGACCTGCTGTGCTTCTCCAGGGACGATCCTCGGGCAGGAGCCGCCGGCGCGGCGCGGCGCTGCCAGGGCGGGTCTAAACGCTGGATTTGGGGGCGGAATTGAGGGGTATTTCCCTGAGTTCTATCCTCATGCAGAGGTACTCGCCGATGGCGGCCATCAGCGCCGTGCACACGATGTGCACCAGCCACCACGTCAGCGCCGAGGGGAAGCGCGAGTTATAGACCCAGCAGCCCAGGAGGTGGAAGAAGTGGACGGTGACCGTGAAGTCCAGGCACTGCTTTCCTCGGCGGATGAAGTAGAGCAGACCCAGGGCGCTGCAAGGCAAAGAGATTAATAAACAAACTGCAGCGTGCCTTTGGAGAAGGGGATATGGCAAGAGCTGCCAGCTGATTGTTTAGCTGGTTTAAAAATTCTTAAAAGTTTTAAGGATAGGGTGTTTCTGATCTCTCTCCCAGCTGCTGCAGCATGACTTAAACACTCACAGCTTTTTAATTATACGATGGCAAGGAAGTGAGCTTTTAGTGCAGGGATTTTTAAACTATCTCTCCCAGTAATCTTTGCCCAGTGGCAGGGGCAAAACACATTCTTGTTTACAGATCAGTGTTTGCTAAGATCCATTAATTCTAATTTTCAGTAAAGTGTCTCACAGAAGCAAATCTCATTCCCAGCTAAGGAAACTGAAGCAGTGAAGTGAAATGACTTATCCAGGCTCCATAAAGTCAGGAGTCAGCAGTTCCCAACTGCACTCAGCCAGGCCTATGGCTCTCAGAAGAAGTTCTGAGAGAGGACATCACAGCGGGTTCTCTTCAAGATTAATGTGAAAAAAGAACAGCACACAAGTGCTCCAGCTCGCCACTTACCAAGTGAGTGCGTTGAGGATGAAAGCCATCATGGAGAGCCTCCCGGGCGGGGTTGAGAAGCCTAAAATCTACATGGGACTATTAGGAAACGCGGCACAAACCACAGCCCATCACCTCCTCCCACAGCCCAGCCCTGCACTGACTGTGGTCTATAAAAGGAGCCCGAGTGGTTGTGGCAGTCCTTCTATGAGGTCTGTCTGGGGGCACCTACAGAAAAGGGACAGGTCTGTTTCTATATGGGGGGGGTACCAGCTAAATAGTGTGTGGAGCGTGTGTGGATCCTCACACTGTGGTTACCTATATGGGTGGGAGCTGTCTTTATATTGGGGGTACCTACACAGGGTGTCTGTCTCTGTACTGAGGGGTACTTATACTGGGTGTCTGTCACTACACCGGGGGTACCACCTACTCAGAGGGAGGGGTCTGCCTCCATACCGGGGGTACCCGCACAGCACCGGGTCCGTCTTTTCCCTGGGGGGTGGCAGCTCACTGATCCGGAGGCGGTCCGCCTCTCCACCGGGCTGCCCCACGGCAGGGGGCTGTCCGTAACAGCGGGGAACGCCTACACGAGGAGCGGGATC